CAGACATCTCATCAAAGAAGATATGCAGATGCAAATAAGCATATGAAAAAATGTTCAACATCATATGTCATCACAGAATCAGAAATTGAAATGAGATACCACTACATACCTTTTAGAATGGCCTCAATCCAAAGACACCGACACCAAATGCTGGTGAGGATGTGGAACAGTAGGAAATCTTGCTCATTATTGGTTGGAGTGCAAAACGGTCTCTTGGGAAGACACTTTGACAGTTTTTTACAAAACTGAACATACTCTTACCATATGACTCAGCAATTGCACTCCTTGGTATTTACACAAATGAACTGAAAACTTACATCCACACAAACACTTGCACAGATATTTACTGCAGCTTCACTCATAATTGCCAAAACGTGGAAGCAACCAGGATGTCCTTCAGTAGGTAAATGGATAAGTAAACTGTGGTACATCCAGACAATGGGTTATTATTCAGCACTAAAAAGAAATGAGCTATCAAGCCACGAAAAGACATGGAGGAACCTTAAACGCATATTACTAAGTGAAAGAAGCCAATCCAAGAAGGCTACGTAATATTTGATTCCAACTCTACGGCATTCTGGAAAGGGCAAAACCATGGAGACAGTAAAAAGATAACTGCCAGGGACTAGGGGGTGGGGGGAGGATGAACAGGTGGATCACAGAGGGTTTTTCAGGCATGGAACTACTTTGTATGATACTACAATGGTGGATACATGGTAGTATACATTTGTCCAGATCCATAGAGTGTACGACACCAAGAAGTGAACCCTAAGGTGAAGGATGGACCTTGACAATGATGCATCCACGTAGACGTATCAGTTGGAACAAAGGCAGCACTCTGGTGTGGGTGCGGGTGTGGGTGTGGGTGCGGGTGTGGGTGTGGGTGTGGGTGCGGGTGCGGGGGAGCCTGAGCATGTGGTTGGAACAAAGGCAGCACTCTGGTGTGGGTGCGGGTGTGGGTGTGGGTGCGGGTGTGGGTGCGGGTGCGGGTGTGGGTGCGGGTGCGGGGGAGCCTGAGCATGTGTGGGGATGCGGTATATGGGAACGCTGCACTTCCTGCTAAATCTTGCTGTGAACTTAACACCACTCTAAAAAATATAGTAAATAAAACAAAAAAATTGGTAAACGTTCTTAAATACTCTCCAGTCTTCCTCTGTTCACAATCACTGTCACTTGTACTCTCATTATCTCACTGAGATACAGGCAAACCGCCTGCCTTGTGTGACAGTGAGTTTTACACCTCTCTCCCCACTACCTTGGCAATGAAGTTTCCTCGCCTGGTGGTTTTCTTCCTCCCCATCCAAGACCCAAGTGCGGTGTACTCATTAAGTGAATTCAATAGAGTATTCCTTACTGGTCAGGAAGGACTAGCCATATTTATTTAGAGATTATCAACATATTCTTATTCCTGAAAATCATCAGAAAACACTTATGATCTATATTTTGAGTATCAATTAGCTTAGAACAAACCTAGGCAGAACTTGAAGAGTGTTTATTCCTCTATAAAGTAATGTACTCAAACTACTCTAGCAGTTCAAGCTTTTGTAAGTTTGCTATAAAATTCTATAAAAAATGAATTCTAGCATCTCAAGTTTTACAGGCAGTGTAGCATAAAGTTATCTGTTATAGCAGTGGTCCCTGCTAGGAAGCGTACAAGTAATAAATTCTTTACCAAACTATTACTTGTCTGCTTCTACAACTTAATTTGATGGTTAAGAAGTGAACCAGGGTTGGCCAGTTAGCTAAGCTGGTTACGGAGTGGTATTATAACATCAAGGTCAAGGGTTCAGATCCCTGTACCAGCCACCGCCAGGAAAAAAAAAGAAAGAAGTGAATCAAACACAAACACAAAAACTCAAACACGGGACACAGGAATAATTAGTAATTGCATTTGATTCAGAACAGACAGCCAAAGAAGATATTCCAAGGTTCTCTTCAGATCTGAAAAGAAATAAGCCCAACTTAAAGAAAAAAAGACAAAACATTTAATAGGTATTATGTACAAATCCAGTACAAATTATCACTTCAAAAAATATTACGGGGCTTTATTAATCAGTAGTCCCCCAATAAGTACCTTTATAGCTTTCCTTCCCAATGAAATGACTTCATCATAAAGCGAACGTTTTAATGCATTACTTTAATTATACTTACACACACGTCAGGGAGAGTTTTATTAAGCATCTTGAACTTCAGCAACTTTTAGCTTTTACAGAAATTGCTTGGACAGAGGTCCTAATTTCAATCATTTACCAGAACATATTTTTAAAAAATAGATAAGAAGTCTGAGAAGATTGTGTCGTAAGAGGGAATACAGCTGGGGTCTGAGAGACAAGTGGAGTTATAAAAAGCGCTGTGCCCAAAACACTGCGGTGAACTGCGTCGTGTGACAGAGCAGCAGGAATGGAGTAAACTGCAAGGTCACGATGAGAAGGCCCATGTGGTAGCATCAAAGACAGACTAAAAAAAACCAGAATGAAATCCCCAAGATGGCGCTGCTCGTTGTCCAGATTATTCCATCGGCTCTGCTGCTGACTTGGAAAACCCACCAACTAGTAAGCATTGACTTAAAACATAAATAAGGCAATTCTATTTTTTTTTTTAAAAGAGCTCTGGTGTGAGAGCCAAACGTATTATCAACTCAAAATCCAGTCTATGTTGTTCACTAAATTTGAACACCCATGATCAAATAAAATTTGTCGAATTTTTAATGTTGAACTACTTTGTAATTTTTCTTGTGACCCACTCCCCAAGTCAACACAACTCTGTATCCGTACGTACTGTCAGATTCTTAAGAGCTACTGTGTGATGAGCACCTTCTCAACAGAAACGGTTTTCTGTCATTTATTTACTGTTTATTATTTATAACAAAGAAGACACCCAACACTAGGCCTATTCCCAGCATTACAAGCAATTTTTGTGCTGCTTACTTTCCCCTCCTTTTCTGACTGCTTGTTATATTTATCTGCTTTCAAATGCACCTCCTTTTTGTTGGGAAAAGAGGTTATAGGGAAAAAAGGCATTTGAATGAAAAAATCTTCAATTCCATTCCTGATCATACCTGTTAGTAGCAATGTGCATCTTGGCAAATTATTGAACTTCTCTGAGAAACCCATCTTGCTTTCTCCCCATAAATATTTTAAGGATTATGGTGTTTACTTCTTTTGTTTGTTACAGAAGTAAAAATCATACGAAATACATAAGTGCCATCGGAGGCACCTTGATCACCCAAACACTTTTATGTCTTTTATGACTGCTCAACTATGCATATTACCTGTTTATCTCTATGGGTCACTGATTCCTTTTTCTTTTATCAGTTTGCAGATGAAATGAGATACATACTGTAGTTTTGTTTTTGTTTTGAGTGCCAGATTTAACTAATCTGCAATATATCTTGACGGTGACAATGTAAAGTAATTCTGAAATCCCAGACATCAAGTTGGTAACAAGAGAGTGGTGTGTCCCAGGCAAGATACTGGTTACCATCCTAAACATTAGCTTTTAGTACAGGAATTCCCCAGAGTCATGTGAGGGATAACACGGTGTCACTGTCATACGATTCTATGACATGAAAGACTCCTAGATATGGTAGGTGGCACAAAAAGATTTTGCCAGTGAACTTATCAGCAAAAATATATCTGCTTCAAATGGATTCTAGGCCTTAAAACACTATTTTTAAAATGTAGAACAGTATTGTGATGTCTTTTTCAGTTAGTGAATAGGTGAAAAGTGGTATTGGAAACATGTAGGAAAAATGTATAGGGAAAAAGTAAATCTAATAAACATACAGATAAGCAAACCTGGAAATGCTGCCCTGGGCATTCTTACATGCAGGGACACGTAGTGCTTTCCTCTTAAAGCTCCAGCCAGGCAGATGCGGCTAAAACAAATACTCTTCATATTATATCAGTGACAATCAATATCACGTGCCAGTATGAGTTCTCCCATTTTGTGCTTTTACAGGATACGGAATATAAGGTGAAAAAAAATCCATGAGGTTTCATTGAATAAGGACTAAATGGTGGAAAAAATCGGTTTCAGTAGCACACCATGGCTCAGGACTGTAGCAATGTATAGGGTGTGCGATGTCTAAGTCACAGTACAGGGGTCTTCAGCCAGTTTAAGCTGAGTTTAATGAAGCTAACAGCACATGCTTTAGAACAGTGTATAACACCAGCTCCTATGGGATTCAACAAAATCAAGGTTAATATCCACGCACATGAATAAACACAAGGACTCACTGGAATGTACAGTCTAGTCATCTGGTTGACCTAACTGCTGCTTCCAGCTCTGATTTCTTTTTTTAAACCTGGCTTTAGTGGGCCAGGAACAGCGATTAATGGTCCCAACTGCCCTTTTTTTTTTTTTTTTCCCTTTTTGTCTTTTTTCGTGACTGGTAACGGGATCGCAACCCTCGGTGTCGCACCCGCACCGTGCTCAACCAGTGAGCGGACCGGTCTCTGTATGGGATCCGAACCCTTGGCAGGAGCGCTACCACGCTCCCAAGCGCCGCGGGATCGCAACCCTCGGTGTCGCGCCCGCACCGTGCTCAACCAGTGAGCGGACCAGTCTCTGTATGGGATCCGAACCCTTGGCAGGAGCGCTACCACGCTCCCAAGCGCCACACTCAACCGAATGCGCCACCGGGCCGGCCCCCAACTGCCTTTTAATGTAATCCTCATTTTATGAACCAATCTTCAGGTGGCTCACCAAAGTTATTCAAAATCTATATACTACATGTAATCCTCATTTTATGAACCAATCTTCAGGTGGCTCACCAAAGTTATTCAAAATCTATAAACTACAAACAAAACAAAACAAAACAAAAAAGCCCCCACCAAATACACATATAAATGGAACAACCATTTAAAATTCAATGGGAGACAACTTCTTGGACCTTATCAGCTAGATTTCCTTTCTTAAAATCCATACACTGAATCTAACAGGAGGTTTCCTATTCCCCTGAGAGGAAACTTAAAATGTTCAATCTGGAATAAAACATATTTTGGTGGCTGAATAATAATCTTATTGAATAAGGGACACAATTTTAGTAAACTACACAAGAGTGACAGATGCAAAAATGTTTTTCTCAATGTGCCTTTAAATAGAAGTTTCTTTTGACCTGGTCAAGAGGTGCCCGTGGGGAAGGTGCGCATTCTGGAAGAGCTCGGCCTCCAGCATGGCTCAGTCATGTTTTTGTCAGTGGGTCAAACACCTGCAGCACTGTCCTCTTGTCTTTGTCATTGACTGTCACCCAGTGATCAAAGTTTTCTTGTCTATGGTCTGGTGGCAGCTCCACCTCGGCAGTGGAAGCACTGACTGGCACTGGGTCTGTGTGAGCCCTTTCAGGGCTCCTGGGCCCCGAGTCCAAAGGGTCAGAGCTCTTGGAAAGCCAAGAGTTATTCAACAGTTTAGGATGGTGGAGAAGGCTCCAGAAGGGATCCTGATAATCACCGAGAAAGGAGGCTGCCTCTGGCTCCATCCCTTTGGTGCCATCAGTTTCGGGGCTGGGAGCAGATGAACTGTGGAGAAAATCCACTTGTGGAAAGACAGGCTCGTGCCCAGCTGGACGGTCGCTGCTGCTGCAGCACGCGAGGCCCTGGAGGAGCTGGCTGTTGCTCTTCAGGACCTGCATGTGGAAGGCTGCTGGCGCTGACTTCTTCCTCCTCGGGGGCACTTTGGGCACAAGAGACAGAACCTCCGGAGGCGGTGGCATGGTGACTTTTGCCACGGCAGGGGTTTCGTCTGGCGCTGGCTTTCCGTTGTTTGGCCTCCTCTCTGCACCTTTCCCAGGCTGAGATGTTCTTGGTTTGGGAACAGGACGGACCCGAAGGGCTGTTGCTAGAGGAGGGGTTTCAAAGCTTGTCTCAGGGGGCCCGACTGTAAAATGGACAGTCGGTTGCTCAAACTGCTCTTCTGGTGACAGGGGCTGAGAAAAGGCAAGACAAAGAGTGTTCGTAAGAAGCCACCACTTGGGAAGCTGAGAACCAAAGAACACTTAGTGGTCAGCAGGGAAACAGATGAGACTGAACTGACATTCCAGCAAATTGGAGATTTGAGAATGTCTGGGATGCCAGAAATGTGACCAGGTAGAAGAAAGCCCAGGAGAAACACACGTTTATCAAGTCACACCAGCACGTCCAAGGAAAGATGAGTGGAACCTTTAAAACCAGGGCAACACTGAATAATTCAAGACAAATTTTTCTTTATTCCCTTAGGAAACAGGGTTATGCTGTTCCCCTATTAAAAGCTAACCTCCCTGAAAACATTCTTTGAGACTGTAGCTCTGGGTGATAATCCAGTCTGTCCCATGCTAGGGTGAAGTACCTTATGTTCCAGCATTAAGCTAACTGAAGGACTAATGGATATACTTCCCTCTCAAAACTTTTATATTTAAATATAAATACAAAAGAATGGGAAACTTTATCCAGGGACTTCACTTCCTTTGTTCTGATTCAAAACTATCACAAAGAAAACAATTGCACAGTGCAAAATGAAGCTTTTATATAGAAATGGCTACCAGTAGTTAAGCATTAGCAATTCAGTATTTCTTTTGGTTCTTTAGAAAACAAACTGAAAAAAATAATCCCTTCTCCAATAGCCTTTTACCGTAACTTGGGTGCAACAGGTGGGAAAATGAATCCATTTCTGCTCCTGGCTTTTAAAAGAAAAGGCAAAGCATGTACAGAAGGTCCCCGATTTCACGATGGTTCGACTTAACAATTTTCAACTTTACGATGGTGCAAAAGTGATATGCATTCAGTAGAAACCATATTTCTTGATCTTTCATTTTTATTATTATAAAATAGGCTTTGTGTTAGATGATTTTGCCCAACTGTAGTCTAACGTAAGTGTTCTGAGCACGTAACATGGGCTAAGCTAAGCTATGCTGTTCGGTAGGTTGTTAGGTGTATTAAATGCATTTTCTACATATGATATTTCAACTTATGGTTTTATTGGAATGTCTCCCATCATAAATTAAGGAGCATCTGTACAGGGAAAAGGAGGAGGAACAAGGTCCACTTGGCAAGAAGGTATGGAAAATAGATGGCAATGAGCCAAAGGGAGATGGAAGAGGTGCCCAGAAGACACAGAGCAGGCTCTACGAAGAGCAAAGCTCCAAAGCATCTGCTCACACTTCCTATGGGTGGGAGAGCAGCAATCATTCTGGGATGACAAATTACCGAGGGTCCCATCACCAGAACACTGAGCTCAAACGGAAGATCCAGACGTGTCTATAGGTGCCAGTCTTTGGGCTGCTACTGTCCTTACAAACTCATGTTTTTGAAGCAGTAAGCAAGGCTGAGAAGCTTGAGGGCGAGAGCAGAAAACAATCTGCAAGAAAAGTGGTGAGAAAAGCTGTCGGACTGCTAGCAGACCGAGGTGCACCAGAGCTGGTTGACATGGCTAATCTAGGAATCAGTGACTGCTTTTCTAATGCGAATAAAATCTGTACATGAGAAACCATGTGCACACGACACAGACCACACACACGGGCAATACCGGAACACTTGAGAAAAAGCATCCCACAGTGGTTCCCAGTGGGGACTCAGAACATCTAGGAAGCACAACACCTCCAAGCTGCTCTTGTGAGTATCTGCAGAAAGACAGCAAGCCCCTCGTTCTGCTCAGCTAGAGTCAAGACACGGCAGGAATATGAGGGAGAAAGCAGCTGTCAAGCATTCTTCTCAAAGAGGCACCTGTGTCTGGGACTCATGAATGTGGTTGCAAAGACCATACTCAGCTAGGTTTCTGCCTGTGAATGTCATTCTTATCTAACAAGACATTTGAGCAACTTAGGAGTAAGAGGTTTATGCTACCAGGTTTGTACCTTTCCTGTCCGTCTCAAGGTTGGCTTCTTGAGGGCAGGAACCCTGGGCGCTGGCCGACGGGGCAGGAGTGGGGGCCCCTGGGAGCTTTCAGGTTTGGCTACCCCAGGTGCAGGCTCTGGTTTGGAGGATCCTTGGTCCCTCAAGGCCATGGCATTTAGTGCTTCATCTGGGGCACCTGAAACATAAAATCACATGGCTGAAGTGTAAAGATCAAGGCACCTTCCCTGCAAAATTTCACCTTTAGATAGTCTACATCTTAAGGATAATTTACTATTTCAATGTATTTCTTTTCTAAAAAAAAAAAATCTTGAAGGATTTGTCAGGACCAACCAGCTAGGTCCAGCCCCAGCTTTGCATGCTCACCGGGATCATGGATGGTCTTGACGGGGGACCAGTGAGGCCTGACATCACATGCAAACCTTCACGCACACTGACATTTCTCAGGGGAGATGATCCAACACACCCCCAAATCTCAATGAGACCATGACCAAGAAAATGTTAAGTTGGGACTGTGGGTAGATTTCAAACCTCAAACCTCTACTAACATCTACATCTCTAGAATTTTAATTTTTAAAAGTTTTATTGAGATATAATTCACATATGACAAAATTCACCCTTTTAAAATGTACCATTCAGTAATTTTTAGTATATTCACAAAGTTGTGCAACAGTCACCACTATATAATTCTAGAACATTTCCATTACCCCAAAAAGAACTCCACACCCATTAGCAGTCGCTCCCCATTCCCTCCTCTTTCCAATCCCTGGAAACCACTAATAACTTTCAGACTGTATGGATTTGCCTATTCTAGACATTTCGCATAAATGGAATCATACGATACGTGGTCTTTTGTGTCTGGCTTCTTTCACTCAGCATAATGTTTTCAAAGTTCACCCGTGATGCAGCATGTATCAGCACTTCATTCCTTTTTTATGGCTGCATAATATTCTATTGCATGGATGTACCACATTTTGTGTATCTATCCATTTATCAGTTGATGGATACTTAGGTTGTTACATCCATAGTTTAAGTTATTTTTTAAAATAAAGAAAGAAACCATTTGTGGTGGTACTACCCTACATCAGTGTTTCTCAACCTCTTAACTCATTCCCTTCTTAAACGTTATCTGAGAATTCCAAATAAATTAAATACACTAGCTAAAAGCAAAGTAGGCAATCATAATTGCACATGCCTTTCAAAGGTCATCATCTACCCTCTGCAAAAGAGATTCTGGAACAGATCCAAAATCAAAACAAAAAATGTCAGTTACCAGTGGCTTTGAATGAATGGGGGAGATTCCAAGTAAAATATGATTAAGAGTTAAGTGTAGTAACAGAAACAAAAAATTAACAGGCAGTGTGGTGGAGAAGAGGTCCCCGCCTGACAGTAAGGAATTTATTTACACTTGCTGACAACTCAAAAAGTACATTTTGTGCCTGAAATAAGGACGCAGACCATGACTATCTCTTTTTTACAGAGCTGGCAGAATGACTTAGTGTCTGCAGCATTAACCTTTTTAAAATTCATTTTCATTTACCTCAGTCTCTCCCTTAAATGCTGCTTAATAATCCTGGGATTATTTCTACATACTTACTGAATTTGGAATATATAATTTTAAATGTACAATAAATCTTAGTCATAGAATTATATAAAATGTTGCTAAAGGATCTTTTCATTTAATACTGCCTCCAGAAAAATAAAAAAAGTTTTCTTTTCTAGGGCACTTTTAGCAAGAAGATGAAAAGGAAAGTCAGTTTTTCTCCTCAGTTTTCTGCGGAAGGAGAGCCCAGGAGACTACCTACCTCCTCTGGCTTCCAGGAGACAGCGGATTGCTGCTTCTGCCTCTTGAGCATTGGTGGTTTTGATCTGTTTGACATTGTAAGGTTTACTTATTCCAGTCCTGGCTTTGGGCTTGAGGACAGAAAAGAACCAGAAGCATGTTAAGACAGGTAGGAAAACAGCCTCCTGTGATGCATTCGCTACCTGCTGGCCTGTGCACAAGTGTGGGGTTCACTGAGCTCCATCAGGCGGAGATTAAAACCCACTCTCCAATCTATACTGCATCCCTCCGTCCTCTTTCCCACCGGAGAACTCTCATTCTAAGATAAACGCAATAATATTTAGAGCTGATGACTCTTGTCTCCCAAACTGGGTGGCCACAGGTTTTTGCAACATGGACAAACCATCTTCTATCTTTATTTCAAGAACCAGGTAAAAGCCAGACAAAGCAGAATCAGAGGCCACTCCTTCACAGTCTCACTGAGTTATTAAACGCCTTCTAGATACACATTTCCTTAAAAGTGCTTTTTCTACCTTGTTACCTTTCTACGTCTTAACCCAGCCATGGGCCTCTAGCCAATCCCTGCACCTGCCGTGATTGCGTGAGCACCTGGCCCAGCCCACCTCCCCAGAGTCTTGTGTGACATCCTGGGACATGTCAGCTTTCATGACAACCACTCCCCCTCCCTCGCCTTCTATTTCATGCTGTCCTTCAGCAGCTCACAGAAGCCTCTGGAACCCTCCCGCTCTACAATCCTGTATGACTGTTACTACTGTTCCCCTACTTTGTTACTTAGGTCTACCAGGTCTCGTTTTAGCCTCTTCTCACTACCAACTTTACGCTAGAATGATCACCACTTTTGCAAGACTGATCTGAATTTCTATTTTCCCTTTTACCAACCATTGCTCTGCACACCAAGGGCAAAGGCAAGAATCAGAAAGGAGAGAAACAAATAAATCTGGAAACCAGCAATCCTGCTTTGTAGGAACGCAGGGTTTTTCATCAAAAGAGATTTTCTCTAGAACACCCTGTACAACCATTTAAAAGCCCTACAAAAGGCCTGCTACTGAGAGTTACAGGGTTTGGAGATGAGGTGGTGGACAGGAAGAGGGCTAAAGAGATGTAAGTCCACGTATTCGCTGAGAAGAGGCCATCTCGCTGCATCTGGGTTTGCAACGCTGACCCACTTTACATGAGCTGAACACAGAAGAACTCACCGGCTGCTGAGGTGCTCCCGGCAGGAGTTTTGCTGTTTGCAAAATTGAATACTGCCCATGGGTGCCAGAGGAGATGGACACATCTGAAGCCGACTTTTTCACCATGAAACCAGCTGTGAAGAGCAACAAGCGCAGAGTCTCAATCTCAGTGAAGTGACAACTTTTGCAGCCAGCTGCGAGCAGCCTGGTTAGATGAGGCTGATGTCAGCCAACCACAGGCACGTTAGGGTCTGGAAACTCCGCCAGCACTTGGAGCACTCACAGAGGCAGGGGGCTTCGGAGAACCCCTGGGGAGTTTCCCTCTTTATTTTCTAAACAGCTTGTGCCTATTAATGTGGAGTCTTTGGAGAAGCAGTATTTGAATGCAAATTTTAATATAACATCCTGCCGGACTGAAATCTAATATTAAAACCAGTTGATTCCTAAGTGGTTTAATACATACTACTACTGTTAGGACCAAATTTAAAAAATGTTTTGTAAGGAAAAAAAAATCCCAAAGCAGGGGAATAAATTATGTTAAATTATACTTATAGCCATTAACAAATCATGTTTTAGAACATTTAATGACAGAAAATATGACACATAAAATAAAAGACAAATGACCAAACAAAATGGATATCAATTAAAAAAAATTAAATAAAAAATTGGGTGTAGATACAGATATATGTAAGTAAGGCTGGAAGTCTTCTGGTTAACAACTATTATCTGCATGTAGGCAAGTGAATTTAAAAATTTTATTCTTTATAGTTCTCTATTTTTATAAAATGTCCACAATAATACTTGTATACGATATATAAAGTTTACTTTTTGTTATTTTAATTTTATATTTTGGGCTGGCTGGTTAGTCAGTTGGTTAGATAGAACACTGCCTTATAACACCAAGGTCATGGGTTCAGACCCCCCTACCAGCCAACCACCAAAAACAATCCTATTTGTTATCTTATTTTCTGAATATAAGCTCAGAAAAGCAAAATTGTGCTTAAAAAGTTATGTGCTTCTGGTTTGCCATAGATTACTATTACGATGTAAGCCAAGATTAACCCAATTTTGAAAGTAACATCTTAGGAAAATCTAATTCTGATTGTCAAATTTTGTGGGCGGGGGAGTAAACTTTCATGGTATAATGGAAACTAACCAAAAGCATGTCACAACTCCATTTTCAGGATACTAAGGAGAGTTTGGTGAGCAAAGAAAGCATTGTTTGAGGAGCTGGAAGAAAAGACCTATCCTATGATAGCCAGGATAAGGAAGAGTTTGTTCCCAGAATCAAGGCATGCAGTAGCCAGGAGGCCTCGGATCACAGGAGGGATGACCCGGGTTAGAGGTGAGCATGTGGTCACCTGGAGCTTAGGGACCACCTGCGTTACGAGATTCCTAGGAAGCAAAGAAAAGCCCCTCAGTTGGCTGCAGCCCTGATTTTCCATTCTATATGGTTTCAAACTGAAAGCAGCTTAAAGCAAAGGCACAGCTACGGGATGAAGAGCAGCTTCATAAAGAAATCATTTAATTTGCTGTGAGAAAAACAACTATCTCTGATATCAAACATGTTCTGGATTTAAGACAAAAAGGAGCCCAAGGTGGAGGGTGGAGCATTGTGGGGACTCAAAGGCCACGTAGAGGTTTACCGAGAGCCATTTTTTCAGTAGCAGGAAACAGGCAATTATCCCCAGCAGGCATCGTGCTAAGCTGAAAGCAAGTGAAGTCTTACTTGGAGGGGGGGGTCTCTGTGGAGGGTGAGGTGGCCGAGGCCTATTGGGAACCGACAGAGACCTGCTTGGAGAACGGTGGCGGAAATCCCCAACTGCTTCCAGCTCCTGCTTTAACTCCAACAGGTCAGCATCATCTGGAGGACATGGTGGGATGAGAGTGAGACGGTCTTTCCCAAATGCGTGAGTGTCAGACACAGTCTGTGCACAGGAGGCCGACTGTCACAGGTGAAACTGCTGCAGGACAGCTCAAGGCCCTGGTCAGAAATGGGCACCCCTTTCTGCTGGGGGTGCGGGGAGAGGGCACCCAGTGCCTGCTTGGGACATTCACTGAACAGTGGACAGAGCCTGTTTTCCAGACTTGAGAGACATATTGAAATATTCTAAACTGTTTCCTTCTGAAATGACCAACCAGACTTCCACATGGAGTAGAGGAGACAAGTGGGAAACCAGAATCCTAAAAGATCCACCCGGCCACCGGGAAGACAAGTTTTTACTTCTCACTCTAAAACATGACAACTGCTTCGGGAGCTGAGACTATTCTACCTTGTAGGCCAGCAGGACGGCCTGGCATCCAGTGGCAAGCTCTGGTACTGAGCGTCTGGCTCACTCATGAAACCAAAAGGCTGCCTGCCGCTCCGCATGTGTGCACCATCTCAGCTTGACCTGCACGTCCCTTCTAGGAAGGCCAAGAGGGGCACAGGACGTGGCTGCTCCTGCTTCCTCACAAGCATGTCTAGCACACAGGAACTCAGGACAACACAGCTCTTCTCCCCCAACCCCCACAGCCCTTTCCGTTGTGTTTTGGCTCAGACAACCCATCCTTCAAATCCAGCAGCCCTGCCCCATGTCTTTTGAGGCTGAAACTGGGAGAAGCAGGACTTCTTCTAGTGCGAATGGCTGAACATGCCACAGCATCGAGGAGATGCCCGCTTGGTGCCCGCCAGGTGGCACGGCCACCCACGTCCTCCCACATTGCTCTATTAACTTCTTCATTCAAAGGGGCATTTGTGCTCATACCTGTCCTGGCCTCCAGAGGCTGTCTGACTGGTGGCCACCCCTGGAGATAAGGGTCGCCTTCTCTCTGAAGAGCACATCCCTTCGGCCACTTCAGCTCCAGGGCAGGGACACAGAACTGCTTAGATGCTCTGACGGAGGCTGCAGCTTCTGTATCGGGCAGCCATCCCCAAACCTCCTGGGGGGCTTTGCCAAATGCCAGATTTCCAGGGTCCCACCCCACCCCTGCCAAATCCAAATCTTCACGGCAGGGTCCAGCAATTTGTAAGTTTCAAAGCTCCTGATGGCTCAATGTAGGCAAACCACATCAGTTTGGGAACCATTATATAGTTAAAGGGCCTGGGGGGGTCTTGCACCTCCCTCAGCAAGGTACCCTCCTCCCTGGGAAGCACCTGAATCCACTTTCAGCCCTGTTCTCTGTTCGCAGCCCCGGCTCAAGGGTCCTGACAAGTGGCTAAGCTCTGCCTGCTGGTTAGAGCTGTCCTCTAACTGGGGACACAGTGACTGGCAGCTAGAGGCATTCCTGCTGCACGTGGAACACAGTCAACGTGGTCTGATGCTGAAACATGAACCACCCTATTTGCCAGCCACAGAACACTAGTGAGTTTTAAAACGTATTCAATAATTATTACACCATTTAATCTGGGGTGTGTGGTTCAATCCCTTTACCTTTCAGCCCCTCTTTACTTATGGCTAAAGTGATAAAATGATGTGACTGTACAATGTGACTGTATAAGAACATAACATATGAATGTAACAATACACCAGCAATTCAGGACACATATTGAATGTGCCTCTTATGGAACTGAATCAGAAAAGATTTGGGGGGAAAAAAACCCATCACAAATACAAAACCAGCTCGAAATGATGTGACTGTACAATGTGACTGTATAAGAACATAACATATGAATGTAACAATACACCGGCAATTCAGGACACATATTGAATGTGCCTCTTATGGAACTGAATCAGAAAAGATTTTGGGGAAAAAAAACCCATCACAAATACAAAACCAGCTCGGAACTGTGGCCATATGAATATACAGAGGAAACAGGAGTTATCATGAGTGTGGTGTGTTAATGAGGCACAAGTTGTTGTAAAAAGTAAAACGACCAGAGGAAATCAGTGTGTGCTGCTGCCCTCCTCCCCGGCGCCCAGTTCCTGCGCTCACACGCCTGCCTGGTCCGGCCTCCCAGGACTGCGTGCTTGACTGTGGCATCTGCAATGCCCGACTGCCCAGAGGAACAGAGACGGTCTGTCCCGAGCGAACTCCGCACAGAGGCTATTGAGAAAAAGAAGGTCCGGCTACCTTTGTAGGTTGGATGCTGCTGCTTTTTGCTGAGTGCAGGTGACTTGTGGAGTGGTGCCCCCACTGCGGAGCTGGGGGTGTCAGAAAGGTCGTCTGCCCCCAGTTCACTGTCTGAGGCCACAGACTGACTGAGCTCATCCACCAAGTAGTCTTCGTCCTCTTCAAGAATGTCCCCTGGTAGAAGGGAACGAATCACTGTTAGGGTGAGATGGCAGTCCGTGTTGGGACACCGGCACACCCCCTAACAGCCCACGGCCCCTCGTGTCAGCAGAGACAGTGGCCTCTTCCTCCCTTCATGCCCACAGCCCCGGCTTCTGCAAAACCACTGTTTTCCATGTAAGTGTAGACACCTCTGGTCCCATTTACCATTCCACGCATCGTCCCCACATAGGAACGCTGCCCGTTCTCGTGCCACAGATGGGACCTGCTCGTCAAACATCCTCCGTACGCTCTGCACGGCGGGGTTCCCGAATCTCACGCCCGTTGCTGGGAGGGCTGCGTGCCTGCCCCGCTGTGCTGAGGGGGACTCACCTTCTGACTCGTAGTCCAAACTCGTGAAGTCGAAGTTTTCCTCCAGCAGGCAGGAATTGGCGGTGGGGGACACGGGGGCCATGCTGTCACGTTTTCTCATGATCTCCTCCCGCAGACCTTTCAGCCAGTCCTTTGTCTTTGGCCGAATCGTCACTGCTCTGCCCTTCACCTGTGAGGACAGAGTGGCCACCCGAGGATAAATACAAAAGTCACAAGGACTCCCTGTGATCACAAAGCACTTCTCTCTCCAAGCCACGCCCAGGAAAGATGCCAGTCTTTGCGTTTCACCAGGAAAGCCTGAGGGTCCAGACCCCAGGCAGGCTCAGCATAGCTCCCACACGTTTGGTCTAAATAAAAGTTGAACCATCATTGCCAGCTTTTCATCCCGGGAGAATTTAAAAGCAGGATATTATCAAAATGGAAACTACCTATGAGCTGCATATTCTAAAACACATACTCTAAGGAGAAAGATCGAAACACTCTCCCACCTGGAGGGTGAGCAAAGAGAGACCAAGGAACTCGGTGGGAACTACACTCTAAAACTTGCTTTTTCTCCCCAAATCCTGCAGGTAGCCAGGGCCAGATGTGAGACACCTCAGAACCAGAATGAGGAATTCCAGCTCCTTCTCTCCCGTGGTGCCTACACATACAGGTGCAGGCTGGGCACAGGCCAGGCCCAGAGGACAGGGGACAGCATGGCCATATAGTGACCAACCATGACTCACCTTCATACCATCCACGTCCAGGACGCTGAGAGCTGAGTGACTGTCTGCAAAAGTCACCAGCATCTGCCCTTGGTTGATCCTGGAATAAATGGGATATGCCAAGTCAAGGCCGAGAACGACTCTGCAGCTGTCACGGATCCTCGCCAACATGCCACAGGAGCCCACATCCGCAGGGGCGGTAGTTACCTGACCAGAACGATCGTCCCGTAGTTCCCCAAGGTCTGCATGAGCTCGGTACGCAGGTCCTCAGGAAACTCATTTTTCTCTTCCAGGGTTGGCGACTGAAGGTTTATGACAACAGTGGCATCCAGGGGGCCCTGGAAAGAGGACACTTCCTGGAAAACCCTCTCCCGAGCACCCACGTCGACTTCTTGTACTTCCACCTCCACGATCGCCAGCACGGGTCTGTGTCAGACACGAAAGGAAGACGGGTGACAGTTAAGCCAGGACGGATATCCACACCCACCCCCAGCCTCCGGTCCGCAGCTCAGCCCCTCAGAGCGCTGCTGCAGACGGTGAACGTCAACAATCCCACCCGTCTGCAGGCCAGCTGCCCTGCCCTCGGGTTTCAGTCTTTATCTTTCCCCAATCTTAGAATTATCTTGGCATTTTTTTCTAAGGATGGTTTGAGAAAAAAAAATATGCAGTGCTCTAAAGATGTAACATAACACTTAAGTCTTTATCTTTCCCCAATCTTAGAATTATCTTGGCATTTTTTTCTAAGGATGGTTTGAGAGAAAAAAATATGCAGTGCTCTAAAGATGTAACATAACACTTCGAAAATAACCAGCCGTCAGCAACGGTCTATTTACACAGCAGTCCCTAGTACTGGAAGTGGGGAAGTGGGCACCGAGCTCTGCGAGGGTTAAATGTTTCAGATGCTCTTTGGCAATCTGTGTTAAGAGTGTCAAAAATATTCATCTCTTTTGACTTAGTAATCTCACTTCTAGGAGTTTATTCAGACAAAGATTTATATACAAGGTTGATCATTTACAGCACTGCTGATGGGAGAGAAAAAAATATGGATTTAACTGTTCCATTATGGGGAGACAGTTATGATACATCCATATAATAAGATGCTGTGCAATCATTAAGAATGTCATGGAAATCTATTTGACATATGCAGGAAAACAGACAAGCAGGAAATAACGCAATCATTCCTGTAATTTTGATATAGGAAGGTTAATCTATTTACAAAATTTAAAAAATTTTTTATTATGCAGATTATGTAACTAGTTGAAGATTTACAATACAACGTTAAGTGGGAACAAAGCCTAATATAAAATATATATAATATGGTGGTGACCTTTAAACCTTGAGAATAGTAAAAAAATTAAGAGACATGATGGGGCGACAGTATCCACACCCATTTTTATGTTACTAATATTAGATTTTTCTTTTCATCTGTAAGCAAGAAGAAAGACGACTGAGCAAACTCTTACCCGGGGACATGCACTAAGTGAGTAATTTCTTTTTTTTCCTTTTTGTCTTTTTTCGTGTCCGGCAACGGATCACAACCCTCAGTGTCACGCCCGTACCAGACCGGGACCGGCAACGGGATCACAACCCTCGGTGTTGCGCCCACATCTCGCTCAGCCAGTGAGCGGGAACCGGTCTGTATGTGGGATCCGAACCCTCGGCGGGAGCGCCGCCGCACTCTCAAGCGGCACACTCTCCAGTGCGCCACCGGGCCGGCCCCTAAGTGAGTAATTTTAAAAAACTTCTTTAGCAGCAGCAACACTTTCGCAGAGGCCCCATGTGATGGACACATCGGGCGTGTCTGGGTGAAAGCAGGAGGCGGCAGGCGGGCAACTTTACTCACTCAACAACAAGAGGGAACAGACTTGATACACACAACGACCTGGATGACTCTCAGAGGACCCAACCACTTCTCACCACTATGACCCGCAACCACCCTGGTCCCACAGGAGCACAGTCTTGTCTGTTTTGTCCACTGTTTATTCCTGGTGCCAGCAACACGGCCTGGCATATAAGGCCCCTCAATAAATATCGATTAAATGCAGGTTTCTAAATACACTATCTAAACTAGCAAACCTTGAAGTCATACATCTGAAGATGTCCCGAGGCTCTTTTCTAGCTATGGGTTGACAACAATAGGTAAGCTTGAAACTGGGCTTTGGTTGCTTTGGGGCCTGAAGTAAAAAAAAATTCCTCACTCATAGGTTACCCAAAACAGTAATGAACATGACTGCCTCCAGCCCTCCCCAGTGTACTGACAGAGGGCCTGGGACACACACTTGGCTGCTGCGGGGTTTCTGCCCCCAGGGCCCCAGGAATTACAGGGAGTCTGCAGCCATGTGTACAGAAAGCGATGGGGAGGCTCAGAACACAGGGTTCACTCTGGCCCCCACCTCACAGTGCGCTGGGGCTGTGCAAATGCTCATGAACTTATCTGAAGGAAAACTCATCTTTTCTAGCCACAGATGTAGTTTCCTGACTTCGAAATCTCACCAGGCATCTCTCCCAAAATGTGTAATCATTGTTCACGTACTAGTTATAGGTGTCCTAATCTTATTATAAACTTCGCTTCCTAGCAGAGCATCAAAAATTACTCAGATCATACTTGACAACTAATTAATAAAAAACAATTTTTATTTTTACTGTGTCTTGCTCATGTTAAGTTTGAACAAAATGGGCTGGATAAAGTGCAGGAGGGAGTGAGAGTGTGGGGAGGGAGAGGCATCCTGATCCTTCGATCCTCTTTCCCCTCCCAGAACAAACTGGCAGAGGTGGGGTGTGGCAGGGGACAGCCCTGAAGCAGGGTGGAGAGCCGGAGCAGATCACCTGCAGGTCATGGTCTCAGAAAGAGGCCCACGGGGGAGGGCCCCAGAGCACAAATTCCAGAGCTTAAGGATTAAATCTGCAATGACTTGTGTGTCATTTTGGGTGGCCAAGTGTAGTGGACTGAATTATGTCCCCCAAAACTCACTGAGGCTTGAATTGTCTCCTAAGTTTTATGTATTAGAAACTTGGCCCCCACTGTGACTGTTAAGAGGGTGGGAAATCCTATTATGGTAACTGAGAGGTGGAGCCTTGAAGAGGTGATTGGATTGTAGGACCGTGCCCTAGTGATCTGATTAAAAATGGTGGTCAGGGGCGTGGTTCTGAGTCTGTCTCTCTCTCCCTCTCTGCTCTCTCAGCTTCCACCATCTTGCAATGTGAGACCCCTGGGTCACTGTCACCACCACCAGATGATTTTCAGACTTCCAGCCTCAGAAACTGTAAGCAATAACGTCATTTTTCTTTACAAATCACCCAGTTTCAGGTATCTTGTTATAAGCAACAAAAACAGACTGATACACCAAGAAAATTGTGATTTCTATAGCAGAGCACTGGGCTGAAGAGATGTGACATTTTTTCCCGATGGTGACGGTCACCCACCCCCCACCAGCTCTCAGCCGTGCACGTCGCCCCTCACCTGTTTTATCAGAAGCGTGCTTCTTCCTCCACCACAGCACCCTGTCCGTCCAGGCCGGCGTGCGGCACTTGTCACTTGTATCATAGGCGGCAGAGCCAACGTCATATTTGTAGGTGGGCCCAAAATTAATGGTTCCTTCGTGAAAGTCTTTAAAAATCTGTTGGGAGAAAAAGAAGTCACAAGACCACCTTACTTCTCCAAGATCCTGTATGTTATATGAAAAAATGAAACATACAAAAACACATTCCAGAGTGCTTGATTCTTAAAGAGTAACTTTATATTTGCAAGTGTCTATAACTAAACATGTGTCTCTTAATTAGCAAAACAGTTTGATCTACTCCTCCCGCTGCCAGACACACCACCTTGTATCTTCCCCTCCAGTGTCTGTGCTAGCCATGTCCTCGTGTGGCCCCCAGGGGACAGTGAAGGCACGAGGCAGGGACCAGGTGTGCTTGCTGCTGCTGTCCCAGGCCTGCTACAATGCCTGGCCCCCACCTAGCAAGGCCTTGATCAACGCATTAACTAAGCGAATGGGGTACAGGAAGGCACAGAGTGGAAGCGAGCCCTCCGCTGCGTGTCCAGCTCTGGACTGGCCGGGACAGATGTGCACATGGCCTCTCAGAGGGCCAGTGGGAGGGCGCGAGGAGACTGGCAGGAGGAAGAAAGGAACACCTGTGCTGGGGAGGTGTTCCAAAGGTAAATAGAATTCAGACGCACTTCCTTCCTCTCAGCCCATCCTGCCAGGAAGCGGACAGGCACTGACAGAAGCCACCAGTATCAGCTGGAGGACATAAACCCAGGTGACCTGGACGCTGGCTGGTGAGACCTTGAAAAACTGAAGACACATCCCAGTGTGGTCTTTCTTCTCTATGCCACGGCCTGCGGAGCCACTGGAAACCTGCCCACGGGTCGTGTAGGGGGAACACATGAGCTCTGTAGTCTGACAGTCCTGGACTGAATCATGGTTCTGTGTCCTGGCTCAATGACCTTGGATACATTATGTGACTTTGTCCCCAGTTTTCTTTGTCTATAAAACGAGTATAACACCTAATGTGTAGGGCAATCTTGAGGATTATGTGTACAAATTGGTATGTAAAATACATTAGTTACTGTTATGATTTGTGTTTTTGCCAACAAGAAATAGATTTATTGCCAAAATTAAGTATTTTAAGCAGAGTCCAAAGAGTCAGTCGGTGGCTTATTAAAACAGTCCCTAAAAAGTCTTGTACGAGGAGGTGGGCTGGTTTGGTGGACGTGGCCTTGTGTACATCAGCACTCAGCCTCACAGCGATGTGCTCGGATGCTGACACCAGGGCCACTCAGAGGCAGTTGAGACTCAGGCTGAATGCAGCCACCTACTCACTGGTGAGACAGAGGAACTGAGGTCTCAGCGTGTCTGACAGTAAAGTCACAAACGCCCCTCCGACCGTGGGGGCGCACGCTCTCGGCCTGGCAGAGACACCTGGTTGCTGTTAGCACCTACAGCCGGCTTACAGCCTCCAGATGTGCCTTCCTCAGAGATGGCCCTCCAGCCATAGAAGACACACAGATCCCAGATGTGGCCAGCCAGAGCCTGGTTAAGGAGAGACAGGACATGTGTGTGTGAACAGACGCTCCTGTTTCTGTAATGTCACATGCCCCATGTGTTTCCTACAATATCAGAAACACTGTTAAATTCCACTCATGGAACTCGGTTTGCTGGACACTCATGCAGACATGCAGTAGATGTCATTCCACACTGGAGCAGCTGCTAAAAAAATTATCCTAAAAGTGCAACTTACTTTTCCACTTGATTTCTGTAGCTGTAGCTGATCAAATTCCAGAAGTTTCTTCCAGTCTTGGCGTTTAACAAAATAGAAGACTTCTTCGTAAGTAAGATCAATGCGGTAGTTGAAATCGCCACACCAAAACACATAGTCGTGAGAAAAAACATCTCTTCCCTAAGTTGTAAAGAAAATCACCATCATCCTAGTGCATGTCACAGGGAAGGCAGGAGAGGAGCAAAGCATGCTCACCAGACGGGGGCAGGCAGAAGCATTTCTCTTAAAAAGTTACTTAAAAGTTTGCTACTAGAGCATCTCACTTTTCACTAATCCCATAAACCTATTGAAGAATTTTTACATGGCTTACTCTTTGGTTTTAAGTAGTAGTGTTTGTGCGTGGTGTGGGGCAAGCTGCAACTCTAACTAAGGAAGGAAGACGGGCAGCATTTACTCTGCCGATCGCGATCCCGATCCCGATCCCGATCCTGCGGGCAGACCGTGCTCTTGCTTTGTTACGCCTGCAGCCTAAAATGGGCTGCCCAAACATTCAGTGTTAGGGGAGTGAGGTTTCAGAAGGGCAACATAAGTGCTCAGAACGTGCGACTTCGTCAAGCTCCATGAGTTGTACACACTTTCACCGGGTGGCCCTCCATACGATCTCCACTTCTCCTCGTCCTCCCAGTCACCAGGAGCCCCTGGTCCCCAGCTCAGCCCTAGATGGCTCTGGGGATCCCCGCCCTCTATCTGTCTCTCTCTCCTGCCAGGGAATCAGGACTCTCAGGAATCCCAAGAACAACAGCAGCTGTGCTGCATCAAATCTACTGTCTTCCAGGCTGAGCTGTTCCAGGTGCACACTCCTCACAATGGCCCTGCAAAGCAGATCCTATCTGCTCTCTTTTATTACTTTATTATTATGATTTTTTGGCAATAAAATAATTTTTTATTAATTTTTCTTTTAGAGGGAGAAGTATGCTTTTTTTATAGCACATGTAAATAAGTCAGTGAGGTATACTATTTAGAGAGATTCCCCATATATTTTTCTTTTTTTGGAGGGTTAGATTACCATAACATCAACTGCATTACATCATAAGTATTGAAGGCAACTTAGGCTAAAACAAGGGTAAATTTTTATAGCTAAGAATATTCATAGCAGCAACTTTTAACACATGATTTTATTAAATCAAGTCATTGCACTTGGTCGTTTTATTGCTACAACTGTTGGCTCTCTTTTAGTTTAAAAAACAAAAAACAGAAACAAAGCAAATTCCTGAAGATTACACCCTTGGTGCATGATCAAGATGGGATTTGAACTTAGATTTGCCTGACTCCCAAATCTGCTCCTGTTCTCCTACACCGGGTGGCATTCCCACTGCCCCCACCCCACAACAGTAACCTGGACAGATTAAAATGATCACAACCAAATAAAACGAGTGACTGTCCAATGGAACTTTCTGCAGCAATGGAAACATTCTCTCTCTGCACTGTCCAGTGTGGGAGCCACTCAGCATTTTCAATGTGGCCAGTGCTAGTGAGGAATTTTTTGTTTTCTTTAGCTTAATTTAAATAGCTACTTGTGGTTAGTGACTACTGTATTGGACACCACCTGTGTAGTGTACTAATTTATAGGTACCCTCAATATTTCTGTTGAAAACAAAGGGCTATATCATAAACACCTTCATTATTTGGAATGTATCCCAAGTTCACTATTACAAAATAGCACTTTTTAAGTGAGAAGGGTTGGACTTTTTTTTTTTTTTGTCTTTTTTACTGTCCGGTAACGGGATCGCAACCCTCGGTGTTGCGCCCGCACCGCCCTCAGCCAGTGAGCGGGAACCGGTCTCCACATGGGATCCGAACCCTCGGCAGGAGCACCTCCGCGCTCCCAAGCCACGCACTCTCCAGTGTGCCACCGGGCTGGCCCTGGACTTATTTTTTTAACTACAAGTTAACTGAAAATTTCCCAACTCATTTATTTGTTTCTTCTTTAACTCAAGAAATAAAAACTACAACAAAGATTATGGCACTTATTAATGAGAACTAAGGAATTTTTGCCTTGGGTACTGTGCAGCCCAGTAGATTGGATGTCAGTTTTTTTTTTTTTGTTTTTTTTTGTTTTTGTCTTTTTCGTGACTGGTAAGGGGATCGCAACCCTTGGTGTGGCGTCGCCCACACCGCACTCAGCCAGTGAGCGCACCAGTGAGTCCTATATAGGATCCGAACCCGCGGCAGGAGCGTCGCTGCACTCCCAGCGCTGCACTCTCCCGAGTGCACCACGGGGCCGGCCCAGGATGTCAGTTTTAAGGACTTTGTTCTCCCAGGGAAGAGCTCTGTGACCCAAACGGCCACCTCTCAGACACTGAAGCATCTGCGGTCAGAACAGCTGGAGCGTATGCTCACTCCAGGGAACGGGTGGGGACCGTGAGCACCAGGCTGAAGGCACGGGGTGGGGGGCATCGTCCTTGCAAAGGAAGAACATTAAAATCTAAATGTGAAAAGGAAAGCCTCCGGCTGCAGAATGAAAAACCTCCAGACGGCCACCAGAGGGCAGCATGATGGGTGTTACTGGCAATCGAGGCCAGATGGGAGGACCCAGGCTTCTTAGTCCTGACGCGCTGACTATGGAAAAGGGTGTTCTTATGTGAGCCTCAATGTGAATCTCAAGAAAATGGAGACTTATACTGCTTCGATTTAAATGTTCTTCACCACCTGGACAAAGCATAAACGTGTTGGTTTTCTTTCTCCAATCTGTCACTTGAATTAGGGAATCGGAAAATGCCCATCAGAACACCTAGGGCGCACAGGGCGTTCAGGAAACGTGCAGACACAGGAGGGGGACGGAGCGCTGCAGGCTGGCCTCCCCGGGAGGACCTCTATCACACCAGCCCCGGTCATGGAATGACACCGCTGTCTCCCCCTCCCCAGTGCTGGGCCCTATGGCAGGGACCCTCCCTGTGGCTGTGTCCCCAGTGTCTGGCTCATCACAGCAGCTCAAAAAGCCACGCTGGGACTGAGCTGAGCAGGGAGGCTGCTGCGGCCGCTCACCGTTGGGAAGCAGAGCTTCTGGGTGATCTCCTTGTAGTCTTCGTTCCTTTCCTTCACCTGGGACTGCCCGGCCGTCAGGTGGCTGCAGACGAAGCAGAAGCTGGTGCTGTGGAGCTGAAAGCGGATGCCGACGGCGCCCTTGTTGCCCGCCTTTCCCCCCATGCCTGTCTTCACGGTGTCGATCGCCACGTCCCTGGAACACAAGGATGCGCACATTCTGTGGGCTTCTTAGTGGCCCGAAGGACAAGCATCAAGCTGTTTTGCTAGAGAAGAGCCGGCAGCAGTTGCTGTGAGAACTCCAAAGCCATCAGCTCAGAATTCAACCACATCTTCCGCAGCCCAGCAGCACGGCAACCAATGTGACCACCGCTGACACCAGGCAGGAGGCCACCTCCACTCGCTGGTGACAGCTGCCTTGTGGGCTATGGAGCATCGTCTCCATAGCCTGGCTCTCAGGTGCTTTGTACTCTCAACAAGCACCCCAGAAGCCAGAGACACAGCAGTCCCTGCTTCTGCCCATGTCCCATGTCAGCAGGGGCAGCAGGAACATGATTAATCCCCTCTCTTCCCCTCCCTTCCGTCCCTTCCCTCCCCTCTCTCTAGCTCTCATGCAAAGCGCAGGAGCTACCCTCCAGGCATCAAGATGTTTTAAGAACTAGGAACTAGGCTGGTAGGTGGCCTCGAACTGACTTTTATGCAATGCCAACTTACAATGCATACGATGAGCCTGTAACAACTGAGCTAACTGGGTAGTGCAGACCCCTGGCAGGTCGTCACCTTCACCGGTCTACTGGGGAGCAGGTGCACCAGCAGGCAATTTTGTAACATTTCCATGACTACGCCACAGACTGAGGCCTGCTAGTGCACCTGCTCCCGGTAGACAGGTGAAGAGGTAACTTGCCAGAGGGCTGCGCGCTACACAAGCGGGGAAAAGCAGGGGGAGGCCGAGGACGCAGGCGTGGAGACCTCAGGCCGGGTCTGGGGAAGGTGGAGCTCCTCAACATGGCTCCCTTCCCTTCTAACCTTTACCCCAACCCCGCCCTTACCCTACCCTTTGCTAACCTTTACCCACTAACTTGGGACACCGCCCGACTGCCTAGTAACACAATCCAAGGGACATGGATGTAAACTTTTTTTCTGAAAGTCACAGAAGAGGACTAGGAACACAGAGCAGTCTTGCTGTCCAGACACCGCCAAGGGGTACGCCTGCGGGTGTGTCAACATGCGGAGGAGCTCAACCAGGTGTAACCTCCTTGCTTAGGAGGAAGATCGGCCTAACGCCTGCGCAGCATCAGCAACTGGAAAGGCTGCAGGAAATTCTGGTGCCACGAACAAGGCCAGCCAGCAATGTGAGGCTGTCAGAAAGTGGGAAAAGGTGAGCTCCTCCACTATCTTAACACACACTCCTTTCCTAAAAGGAAACGCAGTTCCTAAGGTTTCCCCTTTCTGATACACACAAAGCTGTCACCTTGGAGAAACAATAATGGACTGACTGTGGTAGAGACCCACAGATTCTACTCAGAATTCTTTCACAAAGAAACAAAGAACCTGCATTCCCTGATGGGTTACTCAGCTCTTGGTCAGAGGTTTCCTGCCTGTAAAATTCCAGCAAGGAACCCCTTTCCTTGCACAGAACTGAGCTTGGGTGGTGACGATCATGGAACAGTTTCTAAGAGAGTTCAGCTTCCTGAGTTGGAAGTTTCCCATTGTGGCTTTTTAATTGCCAGACAATATTCTGTTCAGCTTAGCATTTCCTTGGGGTTCCTGCTACATTTATCTAGAATCATGGCAAGTCCTGATTCCTGTAGCAGGAGGGGAGGAGGGGAGGAAGTCACAGAACAAAACACAAAGAATAACAACCCCCTGTTCCCCAGATTCTTATAAACTAAATGTTCTTACCTGATGAACGGGACATGGTACGGACGCACAAAGATATAAAGACAGACGCCCACCAGCTGTGCCGAGGTCAAGAGAATGTACCTATGAGAGCGGGAGATGGCTTTCTGCAGCTGCTCACCCCACATCTTCCTGTTGGTGGTGCTGGGAAAGAAAAGGAAAGGAGGCTGCTGTTCACAGCTGGAAGAGCAGCTCCCACCTGCCAGCTCCTCCAGCCCTCGGTTTATTCTCTTTACAGAACTGCGTCCACATTGTCTGCACCCAGCATTAGTGTTGAGCCTCCATCCCTCCCGAGGACCATGTATGAGTATTTTTGGTTGTGTCTTACACATAACAGTAGCCCCATCTCATCCCCTGAAACCCAGCAAAGGACCTTTTTGTAAGAGCTCCAGAGTCTGTTTTATTTATTTTTTCAGAAAGTTCCTTGAAATAAAGCTGGGCCAGTTTATGGAGGAAGAATGTCCAGTTGACTTTATATCAAATGTTAATCCAGTGGTTCGATTCCTTCCTTCGTCCTGGTGTAGAGAGCAGTCCCCCTCCCTGCACCTGCGCTTTCTCACCTCTCCCCAGGAAACATGACTCAGCCACCCCGAGCCCTGCCCCGCCCTGCCCCTGCGGTGCCCCAGGCTCACACACACTGGCTCCCTGCAGTGGCGTGAATCAGACTCAACACATGGCCCAGCCAGCCGAGGCACCTCATAGAAAGGACAGCCATAGTCAGCCCTTCCTTCTGCTTCATTAGCAGGGAAAGAACAACGGGACAGTGACCACGTGTGAGTACAGGAAGGAGCCTGATCAGAAAAACCCACACAGCCAGGGTCATGGGCTACCTGGTTCACAAGCAGCTGGCTCCAGGAGAGCCTCAGAGGCCTGGCTCCAGGCCAGGCACCTGGCTCAGGAAGACCCCCCACCACCACCACCACACCAGGCCCTTACCTGGCATTAACAATATTTCCTGCACTCAGTTCCACCATCTCTTCAAACCCCACGGCAAATATGTCAGCCGGGCTGCTGTCATCTGGGGAACGAGGCAGGAGATGAGAGATCAGAACTGCCAAGTCCTGCATCACCGAATCATGGAGTTCCCCATCTCCCTCTCTGAGCCACACTGTCACTGCCCAAGTCCCCCCAACTCAACCCTCGGGTGAAGAGCCACGCAGAGCCACCCTCCCTCTCACTCCCACTGTGGCCCACACCATCCGCGGCCCTTTCCAGCTACGTCCTGGGGCACGTTATGAACCTCTCTGAACCTCTGTTTCTTTCTCTGCAAAAGGAGCAGCAACCACACTCACCAGGTGGCTGCGAAGCATAAATTAGACAGCATGGGTAAAATACCTGGCCCTACCTGGTGTGTCGCAAGACCACACAACTGTCACTCCCCTGTCCTTCCAGATGACCAATCTCCCCAGCCAGACCCTAAGTGACTCGGGGGCCACACCATCGCATGCTTTAGCTTGTGCCTCCCACGTACTCTTCACAGTGCGGAGCACAGCACTACCCAGTTAGTGACTGACTGACGTGGTCCTGTCCAAGGGACCATCATCTGGTCATCAGAAAAGAGAAAATCCAGCCTAACTTAAGGTGGACACCACTGCTACTTGGCAACTGCTCAATGGAATCTGCTACAGAAATGCCTGGTTTAAAGCTCTTCCTCCACTCCCTGGTTCCCTTTGAATGCAATCCCTACAGTCATCCACTTAATCTCTCTAGTCACGTCCTCTGACACTCAGGGGCCTGAGCCATCAGGCCCAGACGTGGTTCTAGCTGCAGCAGAAAGTGACACATCCCTCCCCAGGCTCCAGCTGGAAGGAGCCAGCTTCCATCGGCAAAAGGCCAGGCAGGGGGCTGCTTCCTTCTCTGTTGGCCAAATAGGCAACCTGGAGCTTCTGCCTTCACCAGCTTAAAGCTTCTGTGTTTTTTTTTTTTTAATTATTTTTTTAAGAAAACAGTACCTGTCCCTCTGTTTGACTGGACTGGCAATAGTAACTACAACTCCTGCCTTCTCCTGAGCCTGGTGGGTTTCCAGTGGGAGTGCTGGTGAGCCCATGAATGTCTATCCCAATAAACACCCCCTGCAGAATAACCCCCAGCTCCCGCACACCCGCAGGCACACAGAGAGGAGTCACTTTAGGCTGAGGGGACTCTGCAGCCAGGGCTGCACGACGTGTTCTCAGCACTGTCAGGGCCTGCTCTGGGGGCATTCAGAGTGGTTTCAGGATGCACCACCAACACCAGCACAGGCCACCAAGGACACAGAGAGCCCCAGTGACCCTGAACCATGGACCTGCACCTGCCCTGAGGCAGAAAGGGGGATGCAGACAGTGTCTGTGGCAAAAGGGGACGGGGCTATGGCACCGCCAGGCACCTGTGGAGAATGTGCTCACAAACACAGTCCACCGTGTGTCCAAGGGCCACAAGTCACGCATCAACAGGCAAAGAACCCAACCACAGGCTTCGACCCAAGTCCCCGGGGACACGCTGCTGGACAGCATCATTTCTTCATCAGATGCTGAGCTCTGAGGCCATGATATGAGGGTACTTCAAAAAGTTCATCAAAAAACAGAATTAAAAGATAATTATGAATCTTTCCATGAATTTTTTGAAGTATCCCATATAAGACAAAAGGTGAGGTGCCAGACGGGATTATTTTATTCTCAAAAAGAACACCAATTATTTTGAGACTACTTAGAGCGGATGAACAGAGTTGGTTTGGGGAGAGCCAGGGGTGAGACGCTCTTGGTGGGCAGTGACTTTAAGCACGTGGTGGCTCCAGCCCAGCTCCTTGCAGGGACACAGCCCAAGAAGACACGTCTGCCTCCTGACGACAAAAAGGATCTGATCAAAACCTACTACTACAAGATTGCCGTATGCAGAAAGCGAGAGTCACCATCTGATGACTCTTCCAAACACTTGGAAGAGAAAAGGAGTCAGATGGTTAATTTGTTAGGCAGTTTCTGGAATGTCAGACCACGGTGCTTTGTAAACATTCACAGCACTGAAAACGACAAACACCAAACTCCCCCAGGCGGTGGCTGTTACTGAGGCCAAGCCTGGTACGTCAGGTGAAATGAAATCTGTATTTTGTCGCCACCAAAGCGACCGCTCTCACCCTGGGGCTCCGCAGCTCCCGAGAGCCTGGGCGAGTCGAGCAGCCAGTCTGTGAGCTCCGCCGTCCCGAGGAGGTGGCTCCGGAACTGCTTTCCTCCGTTCACGTTCCAGGTCCCCATGGCCACGCGGATCCGTCTGAACTTCATGAATTCGGCCTGACGCTCAGTCATAGCTTTCAGGATCCTGGGAGTCACTGTGAGGAGGCACAGAAAGGCACATGTCCCTGCAGCCCCAAACCTCAGGCATCTACCAAAAACACGGGAGGGGCTGGCTATCAGAGAAAGACGATTCTCGAGCAATAGAGGTGGACCAAAGTGCTCCTCAGGAAGATGATAAAGGGCTAAAAACCACAATAAGCACTACACTTCCGGTGGCAGTTCTGCAATAAAGGCACAAAAACACAGGACCGGAAAGCCACCCCTCCACACTCGTGCCCTCAACTAGAGCCACAGAGGCCTGTGATGTCAGGTCACAGGGAACCTCACGACGGGGGAAACCTCGCCCATGCGTTCACTCCACAGGCCCATCGAAGAGCAACGTGCAGAAATTTAAACTGCAAGGGACACTGCAACTGAGCATATTTAAAATATACACACACACACACGTGCGCGTAGAAATTTAAACTGCAAGGGACACTGCAACTGAGCATATTTAAAATATACACACACACACACATGTGCACGCGCACACACACACACAATTTTAACTGTCTCACCAACCAAAACACCCAGTTTGCACTTTCCACCTTCCACCCTGCATGCCTGAACACAAAGGTGTTCTTTGTTTCACTTCAGACTTAAGGCTTTAAAAAATCATTACATGGAACCAGCCTCACCCTCTAGAAAACCAACATATGTTGAATTTTTGAAACTATACTCTAAATCATACCCGCCTGGCTACTGAGTAAGACCCCCTATTGTACCAGGAGCTTCATTGGGCAATCACCAAGCTGGCTTTCTTCCCAGGTAGAAACTACAGAAAACCTAGGCCATGAGAAGCCCCATTCCCCCAGTGACGGAGGAACGAGTGAAGAAACGACCATGGAACCATTTTAAACATGGGCTAGTTCATTTTTAAAAAACACGAAAAGTTTCTGAAACAAAAACTTATACACTCTTATAAGGAAAAGTGCTGGGTCTTCCCTCCTTTTCCTTTAGACCTGTAATGTCGACAGCTCCCGGGAACAGGATGCCATTGAAATTCTCCCAAAGAAACCTCCAGCTGTTGACGGAATCACGATAGTCTTGCTGCTGAGACCAGGCGGTGCTGTCACCCCCGGGAGCTGACAGTGGCCTCCTCCTTCTCTCTTTCTGCAGAGCTCTCAAGAGCCACAACAGAAACAGGAGGCCAACCTCATGGGAAGCTCCCCAGGCCAAATGACACCTGTCAAGGGGACCAAGAGCCCAGGCAGCCGAGAACGAGTTTCTGGAGTTAACATCAGAAGACATGACACTTCTAGAATTTACACTGACTCTTGCAGAGCCGTCTCGATGTCTCCACTCCTCTCGGCATGGAAAAACATTCCAAGCCAAGATAAGAGAAGAGCAAGTTCCCACTCTAGGCCAGAAAGCACAGGCTCCCAGAAACACAGTGACAACTGCAAGCTGCTTAGGTCAACTGGTCAGACCATGAGGCTGCAGGCCAGAAGCCCAGAGCACAGATGCCACCTTGTATTACACGGGGTAGGGGGAGTGGGGCCGGTTGGCATCACCCACCACCTACGTGTCCACTGGAGGGCAGTAAACACCCCAGCAAGTAGCGCGGGAGCCCCATTACCCAGGAGGGCCGTGTTGTCCAGGAGCATCCTTCCTTTGTCTGTCGACTCCTCGTTGCAGACGTCCCCAACCAGCAGCAGCTTGATGGCCTCCTGCTTTACCCCGTCGAAGAAGCTGGACTGGATGGTACGAGATACAGACCGGGCCCCGTCCTTCAGCTTCCCCACCTGCAGCGAGCCCAGACCACAGGCCGTGAGGGGGATCCGCGTGGCCCCCGCCCCTCCCCGCCCGGCCTGGCCCTACCTTGGCCTTCCCTTCCAGGGCCCTGCTGCCCGTGAACACCTTGCTCAGGCTGTGCCCATTCAGAGACCACATGGCTTTGAAGGCCTCCACAAAGCGGTCAACGATGGGTTTTGAGTTCAGCCCCAGGCTCTCGAGCTGCAGATGAAGGACCTGGGGGAGAAGTAAAGGACAATTGTCATGGGCTTCTCCCATGGAGGACCCTTACAGTTGCCTAGGGGCAACGTCACCAGGCGCCAGGCTAGTAAGTTCCTTATTCAGCAGACTGTGGGCCACTCTGTGCACGTCCAGAGGACCAGTTCTCCCAGCAGAGAAAGTGGCTCTTCCCCAGCCATCCTCTGACCCCTTCCGCCTGACCTCCACCACCAGCGCTGGACAGCAGGCAGCGCTGACCCTGCGCCCCTCCTCCCAGCAGTGAGTCACGAGAGGTGAGCAGCCAGCCGGGGCCATGTGACACACACAGGTCTGCCTCACAGGCTTCAATCCAGCTCACGTCACCCAGCCTCACACTGCCTTTGCCTGATGGTGTAGTTGTGATAATCATCACACAGGACTGTTTCTCAAGGGGCGTATGCACCCTTTGGGCCATTGTGTCTGGGATACATGCCAAAAAGTGTGCTTGTGACAGAGGAAAAGGCACACGGTGCCATGGGCACACCAGCCACCAAGGGAACCTCTCTCCAGATGCCCTGGTGCATCCCTGCCCCACCTCCCCCACCCTCAGCTTGCTGCTCAAGGTGCTTGGCCACCCTGCCGGCTGGAGGCACAGGGCCTGACGCAGATGGCACAGAGGCCACAGCAGGGACAGACCTCGAGCGCAATGAAGCACTGCACGGTGTTGGTGCGGTCCAGGCAGTCGAGACAGTTCATTCGCAAAGTGCCTTTCTGAAAACTTAGGACAAGAAGAAATGTAAACAGTTACAAGTTGTCTTCGAGACAGCAGTGGCTATAGCACAGTAGCCTGTGTCTGACTGTCGACTCCGAAGGAAACTTGTTCCAACAAAGAACCCCTCACCTTCTCCCTAGTAGCTCCCCAGGACCTCCTGTATTCACCCTGATGGGTCCCCAGAACTGCTGGCAGGCAAACCCCAGAACACACTCTCAGCAGCCTGCACACCCAGGTCATTACAAGTACAGCAGGTCATTGTTATTTACAGCAATTAAGTTCTATAAAGTTGCATGAACACTGAATTAGCAGATAGTGAATTGCTCCTAGGGGAAATATGGGTTAGGTTCCTGCGAGCCTCTGGTCATGACATTTTTATCAATTGATCAATACATAACCCTGTCTTTGTGCGTTTCTGTTTAAAGGCATCTTATTGAATATATACTGTTGCTTCATGAACACTGAACTCCTGGCCAATAGCACCATAACTCAGGCCTGGATGAAGCTTATCTAACACATGTGTCTTCTCCCTAAGACACGCTACTGCCTTCTTGTGCTTAGAAATGCTACACAGTGCTTTAGCACTATGCTTGGGGGGCCATTATAAACCGTGGAATCACCAACAAAAAGCACAATAATATGAAAAACATGGCACCAAATAGCAAAAAGGACACTTGTTTATGGTATGAGAGCTGAAAGAAGGCAGAGCATCACCTTGTGTGACCTCAGCTGAGAATATGTGCACTGGGGCACTCAAATGTTCTCCTGCTCTATGCATGTCTGTGAATGACTGCAAAAGAGCTGTGGGTATTACTTTTCGGGTTATGAGTACGCTTTAGCAAGGAGGCACATTCACAGGTATGGAATCTGCAAATAATGGGGACCAACTGTGTGTGATTTGAGGAAGCTGGACTTCCTTTTCCTCCTTGGCTCTGAGCAGAGTGGCCCTGTCCCCAGGCTTTCTGGGCAATTTGGGACCCACTATGATTAGTAATTTTATCCACTCACTCTCATAAGTCCTTGTCACAGGGCGGATGATAAGTTACACAGTCATCCGAGCCGCACATTTTAATGTAGTCCCCCTATCAGTACATTTCTTTTGCTAGAAAACCATGCTTTACCTTCTACTCAAAAAATGCAAAAGCACGTTTCTGACTGCAGGAAGGGAGCTGAAGGCTGGAACCCAGGACTCCTGCATCGCCAAGCTCATGACCCAGGAAACTACCAGTGTGGCTAAGGAGCGGGGGAGGAAACCCTCTGTAATAAGGCACTCTCAGTCTCCCGCCCAGCAGGAAGACGAAGCACCCAGACAAGACTCACCGTGGACTTACATGCTCGCCCTTCGTGAACACGTCAAAGTCATCCCAGTGCAACTTTAACTGAGGCCTCAGAAGGTTCTCCAATTTCTCTAGCTTCCCACCTTTGGCAAACTGATGGAAGTCAAAATTTATCATAGGCGTGTCGCTGGCGTGGCAGGAAGCCCAGAGCAACTTCTGAAAAGGGAAAGGGGAGGGTGGTGAGGGGACCAGGGGAGGGAAGACGGTGACTGCAAACTTCCTCTCTAAGCTCGCGCTGTGTGGCTAACCACAGCTGCTCGCTACAGCATGTGGGCTAGCTCCAAAGCTTACGGTGCACTGGCAATTGGCTGTCCTGATCCTGAACAGGAAGCACAGGACAAAGGCCCCAGGGGGACAAAACCACAAGAAGTGTCTTGCCTGCAAAAGAGTAGAAAGTCCCCTGTGGGCAAAGAAAGCCAGAGCAGGTGTGGCTCTCTGGGGACATCACACTCCTGCAGGGCTCTCGGAGGGGAGGGACTGCTCTGCTCTTCAGGTGGCCCAAGTGCCACAGGCCCTTAGGGAAAGGGCATCACAGCTGTGGAGCTCATAATCCAGCTCACCGTTGCCCTGGTGACCAGGCCCATCCTGACAAGCACAGCCTCTGCCGGGTGTGCTCTGAAGCAGCTGAGTCTCCAGGCTGATGTCCTCCGGGCGGGGCACACAGCCTGGTGAGACTTCAGGATGCGGGAGACGGGTGGTCAGGGGCAGTGGTACAGCCCAGGAACCAGAGTGACAGTGGGGACAGATGGAGAAGCAGAGCAGGGGGCTGCTGATGGCACCGGGATGCTGCTGGCGGAGACTGCCCTTCCAAACATGAGGCTTCCCAGCCCAGCAACACCTCAGCTTTCTCACCAGACAGTCTTGTGCTAAGGATAAACTGGCCGCCACCCATCCCCACGCCACATGGCTTCAGGTCAGATCAGTGCAGGATCTGCCTGACAGAGGTTCTTAGACTTTGAAGGACTGGAGGGACTTCAGGTCATTCGGCCTGGCATGACTCAAAATGACCATCCACAACACTGTAAATCAATGCTCAGCTGCCATTGTCAAGAAAGTCTTGCTGTGAAAAAGAAGTTGGCTGAGCTGAAGAGCAAGACCAGTGGCTGGGTGCTGTATGCTCCGGAGCACGTGCCTTGTCCCGCTGTGAACTGGTAACCACGGCCCTGGGCTGGCCGCGGGTGCATAAACCTCAGTCTGGGCAAAGCTGTTGCAGCTGAGGGACATGCTTGCCAGGGCCATCAGCCAGGTCTCAGTTCGAGTGCTGCCTCCTCCTCTACCTGCCCAAGGAACCTGCCCTCTCCACCTGGGCCAAGGGACAGCTGCCACCTGCTGACCCTCTACTCACAAGAGTGGACCTCGCTTTAGTGCCAGGGGACACTTCCACCAGCTGATGGTGTGAGGACTGCTTTTTTTTTTTTTTGGCTTGGTTTTTCCCCTCTTCTTCCTTAAAATAAGCAGCCAGCACTGCTGCCAAGATGGGTGGGAGGGGAGATACTTCTGGAGCTTGTTGCTAATAGCAACAAACCAAACAGGAAAAGTAGGTCTGGCCAAATAAAATTGGCACCCAGAAAGTCTCCACTCCAAGAATGTGGCTTTTCTAAGCAGAAGGAAATGAGCACCCCAGCTGGACTCAGCATCTGACAGCCAGAGGTCAGGGGTCAGGGTGGCTGCTGCCTGTGCTCCCGGCCAGCGTGAAGCCTGATTTCTAGGTCTCTCCAAAAACCTTCAACTGGAAGGGTTTTCTCCACTAAGCAGAGGACATTCTAAGCAGAAGGAAATGAGCACCCCAGCTGGACTCAGCATCTGACAGCCAGAGGTCAGGGTTCAGGGTGGCTGCTGCCTGTGCTCCCGGCCAGCGTGAAGCCTGATTTCTAGGTCTCTCCAAAAACCTTCAACTGGGAGGGTTTTCTCCACTAAGCAGAGGACGGGGAGACTGGGAGAGGAACAAAGACAGTGTGGCCCCTTCTGGATTGTCTCACGCAGGAGGCTGCATGCACATGGGAGCAGGTGGACAGGATGCAGCCATGTGCTCCGGCTGCTTCCTGGCCGATCCAGACCCCTCTTCACACTCCCCTGAACAGGAGCCCATGGGAGCCCACCAGGAGCTGCTGGCACAGCAGCAGCTGTCAGGGGCAGCCCAAATAAGGACGGAAGATTTGAAGGCACCTGGTCAGCAGGAGGAAGCCAGGTTAGACCCTGCTTTGACCCAAGCAGGGCTTTGCAGAGCAACTGAGGCACACGTGCCTTGCAGTGTAGGCGGGAACTCACCCAGGACGAGCCAGGCCAGAGCTGAGCCAGAGCCAGGGAGGAAAGGGGAGGTGTGGGCTCCCCAGCAAGTCAATGTCAATGTGTGTGAGGGGAGGGGGTGGGCGCCACCTTTTCCCTTTCTGGGAATTAAAAAGGAACTGGATTAAAAAGGAACTCTTTGATGAGCATGGTGAAGACCTGGCTCTCCTAAGCCCTCAGTGCCCTGATGGGGAGTAGGGGCAAAACGCAGCTGCAGACAGAGACGCTTTGTTTGAATTTGAGCAAATTCTCCCAACCATCAGCTTGTAACAATTAAACTGAGTGCATCAGGAGCCCAAATCACGTAGTGCTTCCATGCTCACTGGCCGGAGCACTGGGGATGGAAGCATCCAGAAACATAAGGAGGGCTGGGTTGCATTAAGGTCCCGCCATCTGAGCAGGACCCCGCCTCCTCCCCCTCCCCCCAATCCAGGTGTGGAGAGGCCAGCAGGGGACAGCATTACCTTGAAGGCTCTGTTCAGCACCTCTTCTCCACCTCTGCTTCCAAGCAAGTTCACGACCACCTGCTTCCCGTACTGCTCCTTCAGAAGCACCATGTGCCTGCAATGGCAGTAGGGCGGGCAGTGACCCACAGCACCTGGACCCAGACTGACCTCCCTATCCCACCCCTCAAGGGAAGAGGGCACAGAAAGGACCACAATTTCTCAGCACCAGAGATCCAGGATGAGCCATTCCCCGTGACCCAAAGTGTGGAAAAATGAGACCGATATAGAGAAAACCAGTGTCTCCGAGCCACCATCACTGCTCACGCAAAATCCCACTGTTGGGAGCGAATATATCAACATGAGACTTCTACACGACCTTGATATCAGACGACGGACATGCTGGACTTTCTATAAGGGCCACTATGATATCTAGAACAGGTGACCTGACCTTTCATGCATAGAGTCCTGTAAATGCGATGTGCACGTCTCTGAGATTAACCTTAGCTCACTTGGTACCCATCCTTCTCAACTGATAGGACAGCCCTCAACCTCAGCCACCAATTTCCCAGTGAAGTACCGCAATTCATTCTGTTGAAACACCACGAGAAGGCACGACAAAGCCTGCAGGCATTAGGAAAACATTCCTACACCAGAACCTACTTTTAAATACGTTTGTTGAGACCGGTCCGCTCACTGGTTGAGCGCGGTGCGGGCGCGACACGGAGGGTTGCGATCCCATTACCGGTCACGAAAAAAGACAAAAAGGAAAAATAAATAAATAAATACGTTTGCTGAAATATTAGGGAGAAACTCCAATATTTATCCTCTATCACCAGCTTTTTAAAAGTAACCTTACAATTTCAATGTTAGAAATATTTAATGGAGTGCTTAAAAAACATAGGAAAAAGATAGAATGCAAAAAGCACTTGCAAAAGTGTAATTTAATAGTGTGATCTTTATGCCTCAATATAGAAAAAAGACTGGGGGGGGCTGGCCCGGTGGCGCATTGGATAGTGCGCCACTTGGGAAGCGCGGCGGCGCTCCCGCCCGAGGGTTTGGATCCC